ACTTCTTTTTTGAATTGATTTATTTACTTTTTTTTCTTAACTCATTTATCATATATTTGTATAAAAAATTTAACTTTTTAAAATCTATTTTTAATAATTTTTAGATAATATGTGACGCTCTCAAGGCGCTCTTGCTCTCTAATTTTTTGAATTTTTGCTTTCTTGCGCTCCTACTATTGTTCCCGCTCCTGTTTTATGTGATCTAGGGGTGACATCATAGCCTTGGAGGCTAAGGCACTTTGGCTATAAATAGCCATTCTCTTAGTAGCCAAACCATGGGAAAAGGAAGGAAAAAAAGGAGGAAAGAAGAAGAAAGGAGAGAGAGGGAGGGAGAGAGAGAGAAAGGAAGAAGGAAAAAATAAGAAGACTTTGGGTTCAAAATGAGATGGTGACTTTAGTCAAGAATTCTATAAAATTGGGTATGTTGTTCTTAATTCAATGGAAATCAAATTTATTGCTATCTCTTGATGATTTGAGGTACAGGATAGAATACAATATGCTCCTATCTTTAAATCTCTTTATGAAGAGTGTTTTTTTAATCACCTATAATTTGTCTTCCTACTGATTATTTTCTGTTAATATGAAATTCTACAAGTTTTGTTGATCTTTCATGTATTTTGAGCTAAATACATTGGGATTGATTCATAAATATACGAAAGTGTGTTTGAGACATAGTTTGTGAAATATTATTACGGTCATGCGGGGTGTATTTTTTTTGTTTTTGTTTTTTTTGACACGTAATTTTCATTAAACTAGAAAGTCTTGGTTACATTCAGAAGATAAAAAAGCCTTAAGCTTGATAGGAGGATAACTAACCCAAATCAGAGGTAAAGAGTTGAAGAATGTAGCAGCTGCTACCCAATGAGCTGCCCTATTTAGGGCTCTAGGCTTGTCTAGAAATCCCAAATTTTGTAAGCATCCCAAAAGCCTAATATTATCTATAAAGACACTGATTTCCCAAGGTGGCACATCTTCTGTTGAGCACAGCTTGATCACTTCATAGTTATCATTGTGGATTGTTACTTGCTATAATTGTAAAGCCTTAGCAAGAAGGCAAGCATGGCTCACTGCAGTAGCTTCCAAATACACACTTGATACCGCAGGTATTCTTTTTGCAATTCCATCCAAAGTCTTTCCATTTGCGTCCTTTACTATGATACCAATAGCAACTCCTTTATCATTAAAGCTCCATCACACCAAATCTTGAGTCCTTGAGCCATTTTGGTAGTCTGATAAACCTCTTGCCTCTCATTACCATAATGGTTTCCAATTGACTCCTTAATCATCACAGCCATCTCACTCCACAGATGTTGAGCCTTTATAACTGTGGCTAAAGCATTGGGCTCTTCTAGACTGAAAATCATTTGATTTCTAGCTTTCCAAATAGTCGAAGCAATAATAGCCATTTTATCCATAATCTCTAATGCAGTAGATAAATCATTAATGGCTTCAATCAAATAAGATACATATTGCTGCATGGACATTTGTGGCTCCCGCTTCAGTCTATATCCCAGGTCTGATCCGAACTAGACTTTCTTTGTCCACTCACATCCAAACACAACATGCTCTATCGTTTCCATTTCCTCTTTATAGATTTAACAACATGGTGAGTCTGTACATTTTCTTCTGAAGAGATTTTCCCAAGTAGCTAGTGCATTATTACAAGCCCTCCACCAAAAATGTTTCACCTTAGGGATTGCCTTCATGTGCCAAACAATAGACCGGAATTTCTGTTGAAGCAAGACAGAAGAACTTGTCTCATCAAGAAGGGAAGAATTAAGGTTAAGGACCAGAGAGTATCCTAATCTCACTGTGTAGTAACCTCTTGGGTTTGGTTGCCAGATTCTTCTATCCTTGCCTGTCACCTTGGAAATGGGAATGGCCATAATTTCTTTGTTTTCCTCTTTGTTAGACAGATCCTTTATCAATCTGCAGTTCTATTCACTTGTCATATGATTTATGATTTGATTAACATGAGAAATATCACAATCTTGTGATTTGCTGGAAGTAAGTGATGCAGTTGCTAGTTGGGGAATCCACTTATCTTCCCAGATCATGATCTCATTTCCTTCCACCCTTGCCGCATTAGCCCCTTCTCAATCAACACTCTACCTTTCAGCATACTGTTCTATGTCCATGATGCCCTTGCCCCTTTCTTTGCTTTCATGAAGTCACAATCAAGGAAGTATATAGATTTTAGGAATTTAGCCCAAAAAGAGTTTGAGTTTTGAATTATCCTCCAACATTGTTTTGCTAGGAGGCTTGATTGAAGTGTTGAAACTCCTTAAATCCCATTCCTCATCTCACCTTCTCTTGCACCATTTTATCCTATTTCTTCCAACGAATCCCTTTCTTTTACCCTCCTCATCCCCACCAGAAGTTCCTTACATATTTACCTAAGTTGTTACAAAAGTTCTTTGGGAAGGCTAGGACAGACATAGCATAATTAGGGATCGCTTGGACAACTACTTTTATCAATATTTCTTTCCCTGCTTGTGTGAGAAATAAATTATTCCATCCTTGCAACATTGTAATCACCCTTTCAAGTAGAAATCCAAAAACCTCATTTTTAGAATGTCCCCAAAAAGAAAGGCAGTCCCCAAATATCTTATCTCATCATTTAAAGGTTGCATTCCCAATAGTTGGCTGAAAAACACCTTCTGCTCCACTGTTGTATTTGCTAGGAAGACAATGCCTAATTTTTTGTGGTTCATACTCTGGCCCGAGATTGCACAATACTTTTTGAAAATGCTCAAGATATTTACAACTCCTTGCTCTTTTACTTTGATAAAAAATAATGAACCATCTAAAAAAAGGTGAGATACTACTGGGCTTCTCCTTCGAACTTTGATTCCCATAAATCTCCTAGCCTCCACCCCTTTTTGAAGCATTGTTGAAAGAACATCGGCCACTAAAATAAACAAATATGGAGAGCTTGGGTCCCCCTGTGACGAATTCCCCTATGTGGTTGAACTATACACCTTTTCTCTCCATTGACGACAATCTAAAATAACACAATACTAACACATTAGATTATTAAATGCACCCATTTTCTATCAAATCTCAATTTAATCAATGTTGCTTCTTGGAAATCCCATTCAATCCTATTATATATGAAGGAGTTAGCCTCCATTATTACATATGTTATGGAAATTAAGGAGGTCAGGTGAGGATGACAAGACATGGCACGTGACGAAGACATCAACTGCTCGGTCAAAAAGTCTTAGCCGAACTAACCAATATGTTCGGTGAAGCAATATCTGTACACAACCGAGTTCATTAATATTTTCAGCAAGGCAACAAAATAGCTTGGCTTGTACCAAACCGAGTTGATCAATTAGTTCGGCAAACATCGAAAGTGTTCAACCCTTATTATGTCCAGGTTGTTCGAAACGATAGGCAGAAAGGTGGAAATTCGCCTATAGACATTCAGATAAACAAATCAACGAAATTGAAGATACCAAGAGGAATTGCTGGAGAAATATCAGCAACTTCCCAAACTTAAATGTATGATTGAAGGAAAGTGTGTCACATTGAACCAAATTACAAAAACCCTAATGGGATAATAAAAACCCGAAAGGACCAAGGTGAAAGGTACGCTGAACTTTCCTTGTCTTCTAGCAATTATTCTGTTCTATTACTGACTTAAGTATCAGAGTGCCTTCGATCGAAGCACTTCGATCTTGGGCAATTTGTTCGTTTTGCAGAACAGGAAAATTGGAAGATCAAGTTCAAAGATATTCTTTACCAGAAATATCAAATTCAACCTTTAGTGAGAGGTATCATCAATTTTTACCCCTTACAATATACCATACTTATGTCCATCTTAATAGCAATTTCAAGGATTTTTCCTTTGCTCTTCAGCTTTAGATAGTGGAGAACCTCATTCACAATTATGATACTATTTTGAATTTGCCTATTTCACACAAATGCAACTTGTTGAGGTGAGATAATAGTAGCCATAATTTCTTTCATTCTATTGCTAAAACTATAGAAATCACTTTAAAGAACTATGTTGGTCTGAATTGGGAGATATATTCAGGGGAGGTCTCTTTGGGGATGAGAACTGTGTTAGTCTTATTTAGTTCCCTTAGAGAGAGAGAGAGAGAGAGAGAGAAGAAACAGATTTTGGGAGAGGGATAAGAGAAGAGTTTTGGGCGTGTAAATCAAGGAGAGAGACACGAAGGTGATGGACTGATACATATAAGAGGTCTGTCATATATTATTGTAGTATTAGGCCGTGAAGTCGAGGTTTTAGCATCGCGGGACAGAGGAGGCAGATATCAGCAGCTGTGCAATTTTACAGTGCTTCAAAGTGAGGGGAATTCAGTCAAAATGAATTATCATTTTTAGGCCTTAAACTATTTGGAGACGGCCCTGGAGGAATTGATTTCATTGCGCATATAATTTTACCATGCGTTTTGAAATATGTTTTGATAAACGGGGTCTATATTGTTTGACAAGGAATTTCCAGAGAGAGTACACAAGTGGGAGTAGCAGTTGTTTCCCTATGTGTAGAGTTTGACGACGACAAGAATCAATTAATCTGACGATTAGCGGCTGGTTGCTTGAATTGTATGGGTAGCCGTTGACTTTAGTGATACTATGTGACTCCATTCCTTCAGATCAAGTTACAAGAATCGGATGGAAGGGCCAAGTCAATATATTCACTTCAGGATTGGATTGTTAAAATTGGACTTTCAGGGACCAAATTTAAACCTTAAGGGCGTATGTTGTAAACTTCCCACTGTATAACCTTTTTGGTGGCTTTTTGATTGACTATTCTTAAAACTGCGGTAACATGGCACTGGTGCTGCTCCCATGTTCAAATGCGGTCAAGGGGAAGTAAGAGACTAATCATCCTCCGGTGGAAGAGTACATATTTACTATTGCATGTTCATATCTGTAATCCTGTCCGTTTAGGACGACTTTAAACAAATGTCGATACATTTTTCTTATCAGAGTATGCAAACCTGTATTCGAAACTCATCAAATGTATGGTTCAGATAAAATTCTTAAATGTCCAACTGAATTTTTTGTGCAAAAGTTGGCATTATAGCCTTCGTAAAATGGTATTGCATTACGAGGCATCAACTAGGAAGCAACAAAAGTTCACATATTTGCGTGTTAACCTTTGCAACTAAACTAAGTGAAATAAAAAAGAATGTTAAGCAAAACATTGATGAATATTAATGGCGAATACACCAACTCATAAGCATATCACTTTGCAACTGCATCTTCATGGTTGCTCCCTTCAGTTCCTGCATCAGGCAAAGTTGCCAAGTCAGTCAGAGCATCTTTCTCTTCTTGGGGAATCAAAGAGCTGGATGAGTCAACTTGATCATGCTGTCCGGCATCAGAGTTTTCATTTGTGCTTGAAGATGCCTCTTTCTCATCTGCGGATGTGTTTTGGCCTAAATCTGTGTTTTCATGTTCACTCAAGAATTTACTCTTTTCTTCTTCTTCCGTTTCAGAATTGGTATCTGACTTCTGCCTCTGAACTGTGTCATTATTCTCATTTCCAGTTGAATCTACTGAACCATTCTCTGTTCCCTCAGATTGCATCTTTAAAACAGTTTGTGTGTTCTCTTCAGTAGGAATTGTGAAATCTACTGTTTTGTTTTGATTTTGAGTGGCATCAGTGATGGAGGTACCACTCTCTTCATGCTGTTCGTTAGATTCTGTTGTCCCAGATATATTAGGATTGGAGCCTTCCCCCGTCTCCTGTAAATTGTTCTCACTATCCTTCCCCTCGGTCAATGTCACATTAAAAGAATCATTCTGCTGTCCCTCATTTGTGCTATCCATATATCCTTTCTCAGTTTTGATTACAGTCTGGAAGTCCTGGACCACTTCACCAGAGGCATTCTCTCCCTCGTGATTTTCCTCTTTTGCACCTTCATTCTTCCCGTCACTTCTGTGATTAACCTGATCCTCCGATGAACCTGAATCCTCCGTGTTAGTTTCCTCCTCTTTGCTATCTTCTTTTTCTTTTTCTTCAGTGTCACTCTTTTGCCTCTCTTCGCTCTGGTTCTTTTCTTCGTCCTTAACTTCTTTATTTTCACTCTCCTTTCCTTTGGTCTCTCGATTTTCATTAACTTTGCCTTCTGCCTCCTCCTCTTTGACATCCTTCTCTTCACTCTCATTTTCTCTGGTCTCTTCTCTTACATTCTGTTTGCTCTCCAGCTTTTCTTCGGTCATATCCTTTTGTTCATGCTCCTTGTCAATGCTTTCCTCCTCTTTATCTTGGCCAATCCCCCCTCCACTTTGCTCTTCTTTGCTTTCTTCTCTCTTCTCCTCTTTAGTTACCTTCTCTTCACCATCCCCCTTTCTATCCTCACCACTCTCTTTTTCGTCACTTTCCTTCACTTTGCTTTCTTCATCCTCGTTATTGCCTTCCTTCTCCCTGTTCTCTTCTCTTTCCTCTTTGTTTTCCTTTTCCCTTTCCTCTTCATTTATCTCCTCTTTAGTTTCTTTCTCTCTGTTCTCTTCCCTTTCCCCTTCTTTTGTCTCCTCTCTGCTTTCTTCTGTTTCCTTATCTCCATCTACAAGATCCCCCCTGTTATCACCTTCCTCTCCTTTCTCTTGGTCAAGTTCATGCCCTTCAAGCTTGGTTTCTCGAGGTAAAAAGCCCTTTCTCCCCATATTAAAAGCATTCTCGTTCTGTACCTTCTCTAAGATGTTTCGGCTTTCTCCATATGATGTCTTCTTATTGTGGGAGTGCTGATAAAGCAGCCAGAAGCAAACACCAAGCAGTAGACATATCTGCAGAGCGTGTTTCACCTTAAATCCTTTATTTCTCTGATTCCTACGAGGTGATAACTTGAACATGGTGGTTTTCTTCAACCCTCACTCTATAAATCAGACTGAACCACCTTCCCAGAAAATCCAACCTTCACCAAGTCCCAACTCCTGTTAAAGGAAGAAATAATAGAGACAGAAATCAGAGAAATTCCGACCTTGAAAAGGTCTCATCCAATTGAAATAAGCATCATGGGGAAATAGAACCAAAAAATAACGCCAGATGTTAAACATATTGGCGCACAAATTTAACACCAAGCACCATTCTTGTCAAAAATAATCCCAACGGAAACCTCTAATCTTGTCTCAAATAAAAAAGAAAAAAGGAAGGCCAATACTCGACTCCAAAGGCGTACACTGTCCATTGTAAACACCACAAGTCAAATGAAAATTTTCAACTGAGGTGAGCTAATATAAATCAGATAATTATGAACAACCCCCTCCCTTACTCCCCTACAGCACCCAATGCATATTAACAAAGAAAATTTCTCAATTCTGACATCTTTGCTAGTCCAGTCGTCTAGACCCAACTATCTTTTCATGGAAATGTATATTCACTAAATGTAAACTCTTTCAAGCTGATCTGAAGAATAGAAAATTCAAGAAAGAAAGGCATAAAATACTACGATACTTTCAATGTCTATGAATAAGTCTTCAATCAAGGCTTCCATGAATCCTACACTACACTAGAATTGTAAGTTACCCTTTAACCAACAAGCACGCATCAAATCATAGTATCTATTTTGCAGGCAAAACAAGAAGGACAAAAAGAAATACACCATCTGAAACAAGAGACTTCCACCATCAAAACCCACCTCGATTCAATACAACATCTCCAAATAATTAACCAAAATTGTACTATCCTAACTACTTTGAAGCCAACCCAGCATTAATGTATCATAATAAGAATACAATGGGTACAAATAGAGAACATTAAAGTACAGCAATAAAAAAAAATTCAGGAAAGTTACATCAACTAATTCACATAGATCTGCAAGTGTGTCTCTGTAATTATACAAATAGACAGTCGAAAATTGGATCAAACCCATAACTCTGAACTCTTTTCAAGGCCAAAAAGAGATTACGAAAGGTAACATTATAATGGGTACAAAAAAAAGGACATTAAAGTACATCAATTAAATTTTTTTCCGGAAAGTTACATAAATAAATTCACATAGATCTGCAAGTGCATATGCCTGTAAGTACACAAATAGACAGTTGGGAATTGGATCAAATCCATAATTGTGAATTCTTTACAATTGCCAAAAACAAAAAAGATACTAAGAAAGTTCTCAAAAAGACATGTTACGTACCTGATCAATGATTTCCCAGAAAGAAACGGAAGAGATAAGGGATCTTCAAGTTGAACAATACTATTTGTATTATTATACGACTCTACTGCTTAAACACAACCATTTTGTATGCTGAAGAAGCAGAAATTTTAGAGGTCAAGGTTAAGAAATGATTCTATTGTTCTCCAGCTTTGGATTGGATCTGCAATCTGTGTTGTGGGTTCGAAGCCATTTACACATATATAGGTAGCACTCGTGCAGATCTACGCAAATTTTAACCTTTTTTCAGTGTCGGCGACTATGACGTTTTTTTCACGGTCTTTAATGAGCGTAAGCTTTTATTAGCAACATCTGTTGCGATTATTAAATTTTAAGATTAAATTTTGAATTTAAATAATATGACGATTGTTTATTTGAAATTTTTACTGGGGCTTAAATGATATGGTATCAAATAAAAAAATTCAAGTCAATTGTCATGTCATTTGAACTCTAAATTTAACTTCGAGATTTGATTAACATACCATTACTGCATCAAAAATTTGTTTGACAATTAACCCCATCAAAATGATGTGATAGGAGTTCCATAATAAGTTATACAAATCCATTATTTGAAAATAGGATCTAATGTGAATAGTTTTAAAAGAAATATTAGTAGTCCTTGAATGAGTTTATTTGACACCGTCAAATAAATATAAGTTTATTTATTATTTTTTTTTTGAACTGGAAGCAAAATTTTTATTAATAAACCGAATCAAGGTTATAGTCAATAAAAAAGATACGTCTTAACTCCACAGGAGGGTTAAAACCCAGCCTACCAGAAGTGAAAAAGACATTCTCGTTTTAGTCACCCAATAGGCTACCCTATTAGTTGTACGGGGGTTATGTATCAATCTAAGTCTAAGATTGTTACATAACACTCTGATATCTTCTACCAAAGATGGAGCATCCTCACCAAAACATAAAGAGATCAGTACTTGTGAATCACTCAACACAATAGCCTCGAAACTCTGTAAAATCGAAAGTCGTAAGCAAGCTTCATGCATGGCCAGTGCTTCTTAGTAAAAGACTGGACACATTGCATTGCAAAACCATCAAGGATAGCTTCAGTATTGACCCTAAAAACCATGCCTATTGCAGATTTCTTCATTTTCTCATCAAAAAGCTCCATCACAGTTCACTTTTACCAGCCCATTGGGAGGTCTTAGCCAACCAACCATCCATGGTTGGATGGTCCATAGTTGGGGAGAGACATTGCTGATTCCGGACAGAAAAATGAGAGTTGAACTCTTCCCAATCGAATTGCGCCCTTGTTAGTGCAACTGCTGGATTGGGGAGAGTCGAATGAAAGGTAGCATCATTCCTCATTCTCCATATGGACCACCCAAAAAATGCAACCTTACTAAGAACCTCCACCGCTTGGTGAAAAGAGTTCAGATTCTCCACTAAATTAGATGTCCAAAAGTTCACTAAAATAATATTCTGTCATTCCACTCTTAGGGTCAAGTCCAACCCAAACCAAACTTTGTGTGTCAATTCGCAACCAAATAAAAGATGCTCTATTGATTCAACCTTACCTTCGCAAATCTGGCAGAGTGGGGAGGAGCTGCATTTCCTTCTATAGAGATTATATTTTGTAGCAAGAGCATTTGAACATATCCTCCACCAAAAATGTCTTACCTTTGGTGTTGTTTTCATGTTCCATATAATATTCCACAAATTTGGATGCAGCCATGAAGAGGAACTACTCCCCTGAAGAGCAGTAGAAGTCTTCATTCTACTTACCTCCTTATAGCCTGACTTAACTGTATATTGGCCCCTAGCCTCGAAATGCCATATGCTTTTATCTAACCCCTTTATTTTTGATACCGGAATGGATGTGATAGCTTGTCGTTCTTCTGCATTGGTAAGCATCCAATGGGAATTTAAATCCCAACACTTTGATTCCTGATTAATTTCATCTTTAACCACCAGCACAATGTTACAATTCCTGGGCTTGGGTGAAATAACCAAGAAACCAGGCAGGGTCGAGATCCATCTATCACTCCAAAATTTAATCTGCTCCCCATTACTTACCTGTCATCTAAGACCCTTGGCCAGCAAATCTCTTTCCCCTTAAAAGGCTGCTCCACATCCAGGATGGTCTTGTTCTTCTTCTGGCCTCCATGAAGTCTGAATTAGGAAAATATGTCTCCTTTAGAATTTGAGCCCAAAAGGAATTCGGACTTTGTATTAACCTCCAACATTGTTTAGCCAATAGTGCTAGATTAAAGCATTGGAAATCTCTGAAACCCATACCCCCCCTGATACTTTTGGTAAGGTCATTCCATCCCAGCACTTCCACAAAATACCGCTAGTCTCTTGATTCTGACCCCACCAGAAATGTCGAACACATTAGGTCAATTTATCGCACAACTTCTGTGGGAAAATTAAACATGACATAGCAAAATTGGGAATGGCTTGAACAACCGATTTAATAAGCACCTCTTTCCCCACCTGGGAAAGGAAGACTTCCTTCCAACCTTGAATTTTCTTCATGACCCTTTTCCAGTAGATAATTGAAGGTTTTGGATATTGATCATCCCCACATAGTAGGTAGCCCTAGGTATTTAGTATTGTTTGGGAGAGTTTCAATGTCCATCAGCTGGCTCATGGATCTCCTTAGGTCCTCTGGTGAATTAGAAGAGAAGAGGATCCCAGACTTGTTGGGGTTAATAAGTTGTCCTGCCGCTTCGCAATACCTCCGTAAAATCAACTTCAATCTAGTCCCATCCTGTTCTTTGGCCCTGAGGAAAAAGAGGGAATCGTCAGCAAAAAACAAACGAGATAGTGTGGGGCTTCTCTAATGAATTCTCCAAGGTTTGAGTGCCCCATCGAACACCTCTTTCTGGACCATCCTAGCGAGCACATCGACAACGAAAAGAAAGAAATAAGAGGACAATGGGTCGCCCTGCTAGAGACCTTGTTGAGGTGTCACCTTGCACCTAGACTCTCCATTGATGATCACCTCAAATTTGATTGTGCAGACACATTGCATTATGAGATTTATCCATCTTGGAAAAACCCCCAACTTTTGCAGGACAGCTTCCAAAAAATCTCATTCAACCTGATCATAGGCTTTATTAAGGTCCAGTTTGATGGTCATGGATGGAGATTTGCCTCTCTTGTTTATTTTTAGTGCATGAAAAGCCTCATTTGCAACCAATATACTGTCTTGGATATGTCTTTGGGGAACAAAGGCAGCTTGATTGGGTGTCACCAGATGATGGAAAATCTTTTTTAGTCTATTAGCCAGAACCTTCGAGGCAATCTTGTACACAAAGTTACATAATGCTATAAGCTGAAATTGAGAGAGGCTTTCAGGGTTAGCTTCCTTTGGGATTAAGACAATGTTCGTTCTATTAACTTCTTGTGCCAGCTTCCCCTCTTTGAAAAAGCTCCTAATAGCCCCACAGACATCCGGTCCAATTATATTCCAAAATTTCTGATAAAAGACCCCCGGATATCCATTTGGACATGGGGCTTTAAGGGCCCCTTGCATCATTGTGGCCCTTTTAATTTCTTCGTCAGATACTAGGCAAAACAAAGTCTCATTCATTTCTGCAGAGACCATATTGGAAATGACCTCCACAATACTTCCAAAATCCCTCTGTTCTGAGAATTTAAACAAGTTTTGAAAATGCTCCCTTATATGTTGATTCATTTCCTCCTCTCTTTCAATCCATTATCCACTCTCTAATTTTAGCCTTGCTATCTGATTCCTTTTTCTTCTTTGAATTGTAGTAAGATGGAAAAATCTTGTATTCTGATCTCCCTCCCTTAGCCAATTAATCCTAGAGCGCTGCAGCCAATAAAGTTATTCTCTTCGCCACAATGTTTCTATCTGGGCTTTGATTTCCTTCTCCTTCATAAGGTTTTGTTCAAGCCACCCTATTTTATATTATAAATTTATGAATATGGGATTTATTGTTGATTATATAATTTTGTGAAATTTATTACTGATACATGATTATTCATAATTGATCAATTATATTATACTACAATGATAATATGGAATAATCGTTACATTAATATTTCTTTGATAATTCAGGGTGTTTTTGTTTTTGAGTAAATTACATCCACTTTCTCTGAGATTTTGTCAAATAACAATTAAACCCCTTCTTATTTTAAAACTAACATCGATCAAAAAATATGTGGAAACAATGACATCATTTACAGGAATAAAAATTGCTACTAATTTGATATATAAGAGCAACTCTATTCTAGTTCAACAAAATATATTTAAATATTGTACTCTCTATTTTAGTTAGCCACTTTTTCAAGTTGACTCTACCCACTCTTTTTATTTTAACTATTTATTTTAACTAATTTTTAATAATATAATTAAAAAATGTCTCGTAACCTAATGCGTCAGCGCCATAATAATGATGTGGCATAATGACATGTCACGTCATGTCATCAAATTTCAAATTTTAAATTTTATAACAGTTATAATTTTAAAAACATATAAATAGGATATTCTCCATGTATTATCATTAATCCAACCAAAACCATACGATAACAATAATTCTAATCAAACTCAAAATAATACAAATTAATAACAATTTAGCACCTATCCACTTTAAATAACACAAACCAATTACACGATACATGTCTCGTAAACCTAAGATTTTTTGCAAATACTTATATTAATATTTCTTAGGGTCTAAAAGCAAATATTTCATTATACATAAAACTAAGAGTGATTTTCAAAATTTGGGGGGAGGGGGGTTTTCGGATTTAGGATTTTTTAAGAATGGGGGGTTTTTAGAATAGGGAGGAGGTGGGTTGCAAAATGGGTGGGGGAGGTGGTTTTCGGAATTGGGGGAGGGGGATCTGCAACTTGGAGGGCGGAGGGATAAATAAGATTACCAAGAACAACCGTCGGAGAAGACAATGAAGAAAGAGGCACGAGACGAGCTTTTTCTCCTCTCTAAATCTAGCGAGTAATAAGAATTTCCTAGGTTTAATTAACAAGGTGACGAGTTGATTGGAACAAATTTTTTGAACAAACCTCACCAAATTAATTAAAAATAAAAATTTAGCTAGTGAATTAAAAATGCTCTAACAAAGTCATCTTGAAAGATGTGAAGAATGTCATTAATGTAATAGGACAGAAGGAACTAAACCTTTCAGATTGAGATTGAAATCTTTATTGATCAAATTCATAAGTATTCTTTAACAGAGTTCTCAATTGTGTTGATAAGACAGACCGGTAAATCTGTTGCTAATTGCCTAGTTAAATATTCTTTAAATCGTAATAAAATTAGTTGTTGAAGGTGAGATTATCTTGATTTTCTATATCCTCTCCTTCAAAGTGAAGCTTTACGTGTAGTTGATAAAATAAAATAACTTTGTTGTTTTTCATTGAAAAAATATATGAATATGCCGTTAAAATATTTGTTACAATCAGAAAATAAATATAATTATAAATTTTGTTATTAATATAATAGCATAATTAAAATATAAATCATAAAATACTCTTTTTTTGAAGCAAAATCATAAAATAATTCGTTATTTTATTTTGGAAAAATTTCAATCGCACCCCCTCTAGTTTATCATATTTTCAAGGACACCCCCTCTATTTTCTGAATCTTCCGTGACACCTTCTATCAGATTAAAAATATTAATTAAAATGTAATTTTACTAAATTATCCATGATATATTTGAGGACAAACTTTATCCACACCCCTCTAGATAAGGATATCTTCAATGAGACCCCCTCTAGATAATGATATTTTTAATGAGACCCCATTTGTTTTCTAATTTTTTTTTACATATTAAAATTAGAGCAGTTTAAAATTTATTTTTTTACATATTAAAATTTGAGCTAATTAAAAATTATATTTTTTTAAGTATTAAATTTGGAATAATTAAAATTTTATTTGAGCCAATTAAAAAATATTTTTAATCAATTCACATTGAATTTTAATCAGCTTAAATTTTAATACGTAAAAAAAATATAAATTTTAATTAACTTAAATTTTAATAAATTGAATTTTAATTTACATGAATTTAATAAATAAAAAAAATATAAATTTTAATTGACTCGAAAAAAAATTTTAATCAACGCTAAAAACTCGGGTAGAGTTCAAATCGACTAATATTTTAATATGTAAAAATTAAATTTTAATAGGCTTGTTTTTTTTTTTTTTTAAAATTTACGAATTAGTAAATAACAAATTAGTATTTACTAACAAATTATTTAGGAAAAATTTCAAGCACACCCGTCCTAGTTTAGCATATTTTCAAGGACACTTCTTTATTACCAAAAATGTCACTGACATCCCTTCTAGTTTAATTAAAATATCACTAACACCCTATACCATTAAAACTACCATTTCTAACAAAAAACAATCATTTGAATTACCAAAAATACCCTTATATAAAGCTCAAGTAATTTTACTGTATAAAATTAAAATTCAAGCTGTTAAAATTTTATTAAAATTCGAGCTGTTAAAATTTTAAAAAAATTCATAAATAACAATTTTAATAAATAATTTATTAGTAAATACTAATTTTTTATTTACTAATTCGTAAATTTTAAAAAAAAATCGAGCCTATTAAAATTTAGTTTTTACAAATTAAAATTTGAGTCGATTTGAACTCTACCAGAGATGTTAGCGCCGATTAAAATTCTCTTTCGAATCGATTAAAATTTATATTTTTTTACTTATTAAAATTTGTGTCAATTAAAATTTAATTTATTAAACTTTGAGTCAATTAAAATTTATATTTTTTTATATATAAAAATTTAGTCTGATTAAATTCAATGCGAATTAATTAAAATTTGATTTGAGTTAATTAAAAATAATTTTTAATTGGCTAAAATAAAATTTTAATTAATCCAAATTTAATACAGAAAAAAATAAAATTTTTAATTAAATCAAATTTTAATATGTAAAAAAATAAATTTTAATTAACTTGAATCAAATTTTAATCGGCTCGAATTTTAATACGTAAAAAAAATTAGAAAATAATGGGGGTCTCATTGAAGATATACTTATCTAGAGGGGTCTCATTGAAGATATATTTATCTATAGTGGGTGTGAATGAAGTTTGTCTTCAAATATATTATGAGTAATTTAGTAAAATTGTATTCTAATTAATATTTTTAATCTGACAAGGGGTGTCACTAAAGATTCAAAAAATAGAGGGGTGCGCTTGAAGATATGATAAACTAGGGGGAATGTGATTAAAGTTTTTCCAATTATTTACTAAAATTGTTATTTGCAATATTTTTATAAAATTTTAACAGCTCGAATTTTAATAAAATTTATGTAGAAAAATTACTTGAGGTTTATGTAGAGACATTTTTGATATTTTAGATGAATGAATTTTGTTAGAAATGGTAGTGTAATGGTAGATGGTGTTAGTGATGTTTAAATTAAACTATAATGAGTGTCAGTGATATTTTTGATAATAAATGAGGTGTCCTTGAAGATATAGTAAACTAGAAGGGATGTAGTTGAAATTTTCCCTTTTATTTTTTAAACATAACGTCAATATGAAAAGACTTTTACCTTGAAACGTGTTTCGATCAGATTCACACACCACATACCTCCGTCTGTGAGTCGGTGACCGAAGTTATTTCACCCCACCGTCTCTTGAGCTTTACTCATTGCTCTCTCTCTCTCTGTCTCTCTGCTTCTGCTTCTGCTTCTAGTTCTGTTGTTAAGCCTTACACCACTGTTTGACGCTACAACCACAAACCGATCTATAACCATGGCCTCGAAGCATCTAGCCACCGCCCTCCGCCGCGCGGTCACTAAACCCCACCACTTCCGCCCTTTCTCCACAGCCGCCGCCACCGCCATGGCGGAACCCTACCAGGAGGACACACCTGGAGTCTCCATGAAAGGCGTAAAAATCTCCGGCAGACCACTCTACCTCGACATGCAAGCGACCTCCCCTGTGGACCCCAGAGTCCTAGATGCCATGCTTCCTTACTACCTCTCTCGCTTCGGCAACCCCCACTCTCGAACCCACCTCTACGGCTGGGAATCGGACAAGGCCGTCGAGTCTGCTCGGTCCCAAGTCTCCGCTCTAATCAACGCCTCCCCTAAAGAAATCATCTTCACCTCCGGCGCCACCGAGTCCAACAACATCTCCGTCAAAGGCGTCATGCACTTTTATCGAGAGAAGAAGCGTCACATAATCACCACCCAAACTGAGCACAAGTGCGTCCTTGATTCTTGCCGTCATCTCCAACAAGAGGGCTTTGATGTAACCTATCTTCCCGTTAAGCCTGATGGTCTACTCGATTTGGATGAACTCCGGGCCGCTATTCGGCCCGATACGGGTCTGGTATCGATCATGATGGTGAACAATGAAATCGGTGTGATTCAACCGATGGAGGAAATTGGGAAAATCTGTAGAGAAATGAATGTGCCTTTTCATACAGATGCGGCTCAGGGATTAGGGAAAATTCCGATTGATGTGGAGAAGATGAATATCAGTTTGATGTCGTTGAGTGGGCACAAAATTTACGGGCCAAAGGGAATTGGGGCATTGTATATGAGACGAAGGCCGAGAATTAGGGTTGAGCCGCAAATGAGTGGTGGTGGCCAAGAGAGGGGGATTCGGAGCGGGACGGTACCGACTCCATTGGTGGTAGGGTTTGGGTCTGCTTGCGAATTGGCGATGAAAGAGATGGAGTACGATGACAAGAGGATTACTGCATTGCAAAAGAGGTTGTTGAATGGGATTAGGGAAAAGATTGATGGGGTGGTGGTGAATGGGAGTGTGGAGAGGAGGTATGCGGGGAATTTGAACTTGTCTTTTGCGTATGTTGAGGGAGAGAGCTTGTTGATGGGGTTGAAGGAGGTGGCAGTGTCGAGTGGTAGCGCGTGCACTAGCGCGAGTTTGGAGCCATCCTATGTACTGAGGGCGTTGGGGGTGGATGAGGACATGGCACATACTTCAATTAGGTATGGGATTGGGAGGTTTACGACGGAGGAGGAGATTGATCGGGCAGTGGAGCTGACGGTGCACCAGGTTGAGAAGTTGAGGGAAATGAGTCCTCTTTATGAGATGGTGAAGGAAGGGATTGACATTAAGAGTATACAATGGTCACAACACTAATATGGTTGGAATAATCAGAATGTTGTGATTGTGACACGATAATTGGAAGATAAAGATGTGAAGTGGAGCTCCTGGACAATAGGCAGTGCTTACAAAGTAAGATTAAGTTTTTTCTACAGGTTGCTCATACGTGCTTTTTAGAATTCAAGAGTGGTTGTTCTACTTATAAATTTTGGGCGTCGTTGTACTTGTTTACAATGTTTAACCTTGTGTCTGTGTGGTACATAAGTGTTCTCTTGCTAGGGATATGTAATATTACATTTTGACAATGGTAATAATTTGAGTAAGCTTTGGTATTGTTTGTCCCTCTTCCTTATGCAGCTATGAAGCATGACACTTCAAGAAGGTGATGCATCCGTGTGTCGGTGTCTCCGACACTCGGACTCGTGTTCAACACTTCTTTAGACCGTGTCTACTACTAAAAAATAACAAAACTTAAAAATTTGATTAATAAGTACCTTATACTATGAGAGAAACTATAATTACCAAAATTAGACATGTTAAAGTTGCACTCAAATATAATAACAAAAATAAAACATACATAAAAGATTTAGAAAACAACAATTGAGAAAATGAGGGCAATCATTTTAATTGTATATGCTTTGTACACCATGGTTCGGAAAATCAGCCGTTACGGTGCGTAACGGCCGTTACGTAACAATAACGGAGGTCGACAATACCATTACACTCCGATATAACGGCCAGAAAAATTCTCACACTCGTAACGGGCGTTATGACGGCGTTACATCCCGTTATTCAGCCATAACAGCCATTACACATCAACAACCCTTGCTTTTGTTACCAAAAACCTAAAAAATATATGAAATGAGAAGAATAGAGATTAAGAGACAGAAATGTGTACGCCAGCTCCCTCTTTAACAGCATCAGTTTTTGAGCTTGGAGGGGCTCTGTTATGCTGGTATTCCTCTGTAGATGGATGGCGGAGAAAAGGAAGTAGAAGAGATTAGTTTTAGGGCTTGGTTATTATGTGTGAAAAGACAAGTTGCCCCTTTGTTGTGAAACCAAGACATATAAGTTAGCCCAAATGTAGAAAATGGGTTTAGCTTGGGTCCAATAAAATTAACAGATTTTTTATTTGTATTTTGCTAATATTTTTCCATCTTTTAGAAATGTATAGCCATAATTAAAAAAAATAGATTCTTGATAAAATTTCAATTGGCTATGGTTTCTAAATTCTCCCAAAAATATTTAAGTGGATTGCATTCAATTAAAAGTCACTAGAAATCTTTTATCATACAATGATTAAAAGATAAATTCGTAAAACATTATTTATGATACAATAAAATGTATAACATATCACAAAAAGACTATATTTACATAAACTTGGAGTTAAAAATGTATAAATTTACTTTTTGGGAGAGGTGTGATCGAAAACAAAAAATTCACGATTCTGGTTTTCGTTACTGTTACGTAACGCCTGTTACATCTCGCGTACGTTACTCTGTTACCGTTATCGTTATAGTGACCGTTACTGTTATTCAAAATTATGTTGTACACGTCTACGAAAAAATGGATGATTATTGACTTTTATGAGGTTAGCTTAAAAATTCACAGTAGATGATTAAACATAACATTACTTATCATAAAGTACTAGTTTTTTTATGAATAATATATCATTATCACTATATTTGTGATCAATTATATAATTTTTTATATAAAACATAATTATCTATAGTGTATCTGTGTCTTATTTTTTTATAGCAATGCCGAGTTTACGTGCCCATGTCGTATCCGTGTCCATGTCCATGCTTCTTAGTTATGCAGTGTCAGTTTCTAGTTTCTACCTTTCCTTGTCTGACTAGTTTATGCTTTGCATGGGCAACAAGATTCCAAGACATTTTCTCGTCTTATTTGTGCCCGAAATGTTGGGATAGTAATATTACAATTACAACAACTGCCGTTCATAGTGTGAAAACTATTGGATCTTTCGACTTTTGAGGCAATTATAGATGGGAGGCAATTCTAATTGGGGTATAAAAACCGATTTCAATGCTATATATTGTTTGTTTTTCCTTAGTTTAGCCCATTTCTCATGAAAGGTAAAAGGGCGTAAAGGAATCGTGTGGTCATAGCCCTCAAACACTATATTGTTGCTGTGCAAACAATTGCCATGTTTGTATTATGTGATGGCGGAGTTGCCAATTTTTTTTTTTGGGGAGGGGGGGAGATTTTGTGCACTCTGAAAATTGCCTTTTCCCATCTTAGTTTGTACTAAAAAATCAGTTCACATCATTGCATCCATCCTCGGTCCTCCCACCCAACAGAAAACCCAACTTCATAAATAATTTAGCCCCAACCCAAAAAGAAAACTTCCATAGGGGGAAATTACTGAATCTGTGACTGTGTGATGCTAGCCAATCTAGTGACTCTTGGAAATACACCTCCCTAGCTCAATGACAGAAAAACATCACCAGCTTTTCATCTCTACTTTTTTCATAATTGTCTTGTCTTCCTGAGTTTGTCTAAGATGAAGCCAAGATGGGCAAAAGAAAACATCTCCAGGGAGGACAATAGATAGATTATCATACTGAGTTGAAGGTATTGACAGAAAATTCCCTACTATGAAAGATGCACCAACTAGTGGATCATTCAGTCTTTGACACGTGAAGCAAATTTCAGTGGATCCATACTCATGTTTCCATAACCTTGAATCTTGGATGGGTAGGCAGTTGAAGATAACAAGGTTTTATAATGTAGTCGTATGGTTCAGCGGGAGGGTATGTGTTATTTTCAGGGTTGCATAACCTTGGTTGATATCAGGCGATGCGTGAAAGTGGTCACAGAATTGTCCACTTTGTTTGATACTTGATTATCAAAAGCAATTACAGCCACCTTGTTAATGTTGAGGCCTTTTGTATCAAAACTTAAGGGGTGTAGGTGGGTACTGGGATGATGTCTGTCTCAAAGGGATGTCTGTTTCTTTTTGGGAGTTATTCCCTGTCCACCCAACACCTTTCTCCCCCCACTCTTTGCTGGGGGACAACTCGGGCCTAGCCGCCCACCCTCATATGCCCAACTTTAGAAATTAAAGTTAAAGACGCTTTAATTACTCAATTTTTAGGTTCCTTGGCTCACAATCAATTGAAAATTTCCTTCTATTGAAATCTCAATGATAAGAGGACTTCTAAAACATACCTTTTCTCATGTGTCTCAAGGACGTGTGCATTTTGTTCTCTAGAAGATTAGAACCTTGGTGTGGACTTATTAACTCTGAAGGGAGTTTTGCTTGAATTTTTGTTACCCTTTTCACAATCTCATCTTTGGCCGACATTTTTCCACCCAGAGATGGTTTGAGTAAGCTAGAGTGCCTGCGGGTTGGGTTCTTGGCATAGAAGTATAGACCTGACCTTTGTAACTGTAAATACTGATGACCTGCTACATTATGGTGTGAGCCTCGTTGAAAAAGCTCCGTACTGTAGATATGGTGTTAGCATCCCTTATTGAAATTAGGTATTCTCTTTAACGCATTGAGATGACTGCAAAACTTGTATTTCAATGGTTAGAAGTGCAGGGCTCTAAAATGGGCCCCTTATGGCATAGATACAGTGTCACACACTTCCGTCATTGTAAATTGGCAAACATATGTATATTGTACCATCCTTGTTGATATCCTGTATCATCTTGCAACGAAAGTGATGGTCGACAACATTGGATAATGGTGACCCTCTGAGCATGAGCCCAAGGATTTTGGATTTCTTGTGCCGGCAAGAGAGCTGTGAACTAACTGTTAGCTCTTAATGAGGGATGCTTTTCTCTTCCTGTGAACCAAGTATCCTTCATTTGTAATCTCTTCATGTTTGTATATGAGTTGAGGAAAAAAGTTAGGGTTGCTTTTTTAGCTAAAACGATTAATATTTCTGTGATTTGTACTTCCTTAGTGAGGATTAGGAGCATATGCATGACCAGGAGGTTCATGAGCTCAACACTGAAGGGCAAAGCAATAATTCTACGTCTTAAATCTTGGGATCAAGGGGAAACCTTCCATTGGATTGGTACTTTTCAAGGATCTGTTTGAATGAGCTCTTTGTGTTGATTTCTGCTCTCTACGTTGACAAATAACCAAAACACACAGTTGTCTCAGTTGGATGGGATGTGCCAGATATCGCCTCAACTGATACTGATAATTGGGTTAAGCAATATCTCAGTTGCTGATTGGTATTTTGTCACTGCTATCAATTGCTTGCTCAGGAGAAGCCTTATGTTTGTTTGGTTTCTGTTAGCCGTACTATCAATTTTTAATCCGTAGTTGATCTGATTCACCACCTGAATACTATTAACTAGAGAATCTGATTCAAAATTATACTCAGCAGAGACAATTTGGCTAGAGAATCCCATTAATGTTGCAATTTCTGCCAGGTGGATTTATGTGTTTTATCCATAGCAAGTAGATTACAGATCTCAAGAACAATGACAAATATGTTGTGATCTATGCATGTTGTGACAAATATGTATATGACGAGGCTTCGGTGTGTTCATATTAGACCTCCTTGCTCATTTAGCTATATTAATGAGGCGTATAGCCCTTCATGCTTGTTGCTGCCCTGGATTCATCGATTGAAATATGTATACACATATCTTAAAGCAGGGGAAATTTATGAAGTGCATAGTAACACTCCGAGAAAGGTAGCGGGTACTTTTAAACTTATAACTGCCAGTTTGTATGCCATTTTTGTGAAATTGACAATATACACACAGGAAGGGGAGAATTTGCAACCTTGCAATTGCCGCTAAGAAATCTGTATGGTACACAGTGAGTTTTCACCAGTGACCCGTGGATAACATGTATCCATACATACATTTGGTTTCATTAGAGCCTAAAATCCATGTTCCGCTGTAGTCAAGTTGTGTAGTCACTATTGCTCTTTGATTAATTTACTTCTACGGTTACTATTGCAAATAGAGAGTTCCCTTCTCGCAAAGATACTTGCCTTGTTGGCTCTCAAGATCTGGCAGTGTTGGTTTGAGGGCTGACCTGTGTG